GGGTTTGAAGGGACATATACATTCGATACTTCAAGGTCTGATGGCCAATTTAAAAAGACGGCCAGCAATGCCAAGTTGGTAGTAGTGGGGAATGGTAATGGTGTTGGTGGGTATGGCGAAGGAAAAGACGAAGAAGCGGTTATGACGATCAAGAAGGCAACAAATAAAGCGTTTAGATTGTTAAAGTATTTCGAGAGATATAATGACAGGACTGTTTACCATGACATTGAGTACAAGTTTGGAGGAACTAGGCTTAAATTATTTGCTCGACCACCTGGTACGTGGGTCATGGATAGTGGAAGTGAATGGACATGATGTATGTGCTGTTAAACTTGACAATGTCTGCTACTCGCATTGCTATTGTCGTTTAACCGGTTACTACCAAGATCTCTCGATCAATTATTCCGTCATGTACTGACCAAAAATAATTATCATGTTCAGGCTTTGGCATAAGGACTAATCATTACATACATAATCGTTGCTCAAGACTACCTCACAAAATGGCCAATAGCGGAACCAACTAAAACGGCTAACTAAGACGAAGTGATCAAATTCGTAAGGGAACGTAATCAAGGCTACCTTTGAAGCATTTCTATCACAAAAGCTGCCGCGGAATATCGCAATGCAAAGAGGAAAAAAGCTGATGGACGTGCATCATGTCTATTATGGAGCTGATTGAATCATATATAATGAAGAAAAGTTTCGATGAGAGGTGGTAAAATCTGGTGTAGCGATAATAAAAAAAATCTGTAGCGTGGTGTTAGAATCTGCGCGTAAATTTTGAATGCGCTTAACAGTGATAAACCGTTTTGAAAAGGGGAAATTAAAATCTGTTTGATCGACATAAAAGAAATTGAAGCTTTGTTTTATATAGCGCGAATACGACCGTCAAAAATCCTCATGTTGAAATCGTTGATGTTATAAAATAAATAATATTCGATACTGAAGTATTCGGATATAATAATTGATCTGATTTTTATCCTTAATTATTACGAAACTTTTTTGTCTAATGCATTCTACATTGCGATCGATATTTTGTTGCGAATTGCGTCGTCAAGTACCCCAAATTTTTTATATATCCGCAGTAAAGTCACGTTTTTCACCGATTTATCTGTTGCGTACTAGCCAATTATGGTTATATTCTAATCAATCTATGATGTCAGACGTATAACCATAGTTCATCTCATCTTTGATATTCTCAAGACTTCTCTTTCTACGACTATACATAAAATGTACTATATATGTAGATATAAATTTGCTTTATCGTTATTATAATTTTGTCTTTAAAGAAGAAATCTGTCAAATATTCATTTTTATTCTTGGTTAAAACCTTTTATCCCAAATTAATTAAAACATAATAATAAAACGTATTATTAATTATTAATTATTCACTTTTATTTAACTGTGTGCTGTAATAATTAGTATTGAAAATGGTAAGAGTTCAATGAACAAAGAATTAATTAAAAGCAAAAAACAAAGTAATAGGATATTGATTAAATTTATAATCGTAAATATGTCTCAATTTGTATTTTCTTA